CTCTTCATGACACCCTGCTTCTGGTACCATGACAGTGTGCTACCCACTGGGGTGAGATGGGCTGGCTCCTTGCTGTCACATGTGATGGTTGATGGAGGCAGCTTCTCCCCACATCACTCTGCTAAAAACACAGTGCATAAGGTAAAAGCGAAGACATCCTAAATAAGAAAAACGTGAGTTGAAGCACAGTAACATATTCACAGTGCTGCAGTCATTTGTTTTGTTTGTAAGAAGTTCATGGTCTTGTTATTTTTGTGAATCTGCAGAGCTTCAAAACTCTATTAGTCACAACTATTACTTAAGCTCATCTATAATTTTCTTTTCCTACAATCGATATTTAATTTATGTCTCATGGTATACGATGTTTCACTATTCGGGTTCTCTGCATTTCTGCTGAAAACATGTTTCAGACATCCAAATAAGCCTCAGTAAGGAAAACACTGTGGACATGGTCCCTGGAGCCTGGAAGTCTGTCTTCCAGAGGAGCTGCTCTAGGGTAAACATGGCCCAAGAAAGTCAGTTTTCTTTTGCACATGTCCTGCGGGAGAGAGAGTGCATATCCTGTCTTGTCTCAGACCAAGAGGTCCTCCTGTTCCCATTCCTGGAACCATAGATCTTCCACCATTCAGTCCTGGTCCCCACTTCGTACAGTCCTTCCCTTGTGCCTGGCCTAGTATATGTACAAAAATAAAAGGGAGCTTGCTACTAGAAAGCTCTGGATCTGAATTCTGTCTCTTCAATCTAGAAATGTGTCTGATCATAAGCAAATTTCTTTAGTTTCTTCTCCTAGAAAATGCAAAATAATATCCTCCTATCAGAGATTTCTCTAAATTAAATGAGATAGCATAAAGAATATACATAGTACTCAGCATACAGTTGGTGTTCAGTACATGGCAGTTTATTATTTCATCTCAGATCAAGCCATTGAGGTAGCACCTGTTCAACCTATGTAGAAAGCTGGTGTAGTCTAATGAGAGAATAAAGAAAACTGAATATTTTTCTTCATATTTGACCCTAGCTACCATTTTATTTTAACTAGAACATTTCCATTCTCAATGAGATGGCTTATCTTCCCCAGCAACAGCTCCAGCAAACAGGCATTTTTATTAGCTTGACTTTCAGAATCTATTTTTGAAGCCCCTCTTCATTCAACCCTTTACTGACCTCTCATAAGTACTGCTGGTCCTGGGCCAGCCTGGTAAACAAGAACCAAGATAGACAAAACAGGATGAGGTCTTAAAACTAAGGAAGATTTAAAGACAGTGTGGTCAAAGATAAGATGATATATGGACAGGTCAAAGTCATGTTCAGAAATGATTGCCCGGGACACAGCCAACCTGCCATAGTAAAACCCTTAGGGTTGGTGCTGTGCAAAGAGTGAACTTCTTAAGGGACAGGGTATGTCCTGAACATTTTTATAGAGGTCAAACTGATCTAGAAACCCACTTTAACTAAGCATACAGGATAACCACAAGTGAGAATGTGGCTGCAGTAACTCTAATTTGTCAATCAAAATTTGTAAGAATACCCTCTAGATACCTGGTCTGAGGTTGTGAAGGAAGAGGTCAAAATCAACTACTCTTTTAGTAAAAAATATGAAATAACTTTTCATTAAATTTTATTAGTGCATGTTAATATTACATGATGATGGGGTTTGAGAAGTTATTAACGGAGATTAACATCTTAATCAATTTTAATACTATTACTCTTTCTCCCTTCCTTCCCGCTCCTGCCTTTCTCCTTCCTTGTTGCTTATTGCCTATTAAATGGGGTGCAGACTCAGCCTGCAGCATTCACACGTTTTCCACAAGCTAACCGCAGCCTACTTGGTTAGGCTCATTTCATCTTGCTTCCCTATTCATGCCCACACTTCATCAAAACTGGACTCATTCTCTGAATTTGCCCCCACATACTCCCACTTCTGTGTCTTCACTGTTTGTTTTTATTTGTGACTATTTCCTTGGCCCACATCTCTTCTAGAAATCTTTCACAGTCCCTCTGAAAAAAATGGACCCTCCCATGAATCCTTTCTAGCCTCAGGCCTCCTCCAACTAGCTGTGATCTCTCTTCCCTTTAACCTGTGATAGAATTTCATTTTCATCTTGCTTGTGGCATGATTCTACCTAGAAGTGAAATTGTGGTCCTTGTTGGATTCTGGTTATAGTAGACAAGTCAGCTCAACTGGGGTAATGATGGTAGGGTGGAGAGGCTCCCCAAAGATGAAGCCTCAAGATGGAAGGTAATAACAAAGCCTGATAAACTTGGCTCAGACATTAAGCCCAAGTTTACAGCAGGGAGCAGCAAACTAGAGTGAGTTATGATGGCCATTACCTGAAGCTGCCCGCAGCCCAGCCTCCCTGAACGCATGCATACCTGCATCCTCACTGGAGACCTGTTTCCTCCATGAAGGAGTCTCTTAATATTAAAGAGAATGAGACCCTGACCTTCTCAGCATGAACCATTGATGTCAATAGTATGCATTATGTCTAATGGCCAGGATGGTTACAGTGAGGCCAAATTGCAGAGAAGGAGCAAGTATGCTGCCCTAGCAAAGATCTTCCTGTGGAGGCAGAAGCAGAATGCAGGTCAGTGCAGTGGAGTTCTGGCTTAGGACATGCTGTCATCATGTTGTCATCAAGGATACCCAGTGGATTCTCCTCAAAGTCCAAAGTGACATATAAAAAGTCAAAATCCTACAGATCCAGGTAGTGTTTCTTTAGGACATCTGACCTGCGTCTGACAGAATACAGATGACATTGTGAGAAACCATCTTGTCCGGGTTCTTATCTTATCTACTTCATTAAGTTCTTTAAGGTACCAAGTCTTTGTCATCTCTGTATCTCTCAAGAGCATGAAGTCTATTCCTGACAGAGTGCCTTGAAGGCTGCTAGAAATGTTTTACTCATATCTATCCTCCATTGCCATCTAGCCTCAGGTTTATACTTTCCCTCACATTTTGCAGTTTCATTTAGATATAATTTTTACATATCAGGAATTCGCTTACTTTGGGTATGCAGCTTGAATTTTAATAAATCTATGCAATCATACAACCATCACCACATCATTTTGGAACACTTTCATCATCTGTAGATTTTTCCTATGCTCCTCAGCCTTCATTTCTATCCCAACCTTAAGACCCAGGGAACTACTGATGTAGTATCAATCACTTATGGCTTTGTACTTTATACGGAATTTATATTAAGGTATAATATAATAGGTCTTCATTGTGCATGTTTAAAATTCATCTAGTATGTGTTATGTGGTTGCAACACATTGCAATAGTTTGTCATTTTAATGGCTATATAGTATTACATTGTCTAAACATTGTTTACTCATTTTCTAACTGATGGACATTTAGGTTACTTACAGTTTGTTTTTATAAAATGTTTCTGTGTCCACTAGCGTATTCATTTTTGTGTGTACATATGCTTTTATTCATTTTGAGTAGATTCCTAGATGTGGAATTATGGGGCCATGTAGTAAGTGTTTGGTCTTCACTGATTTGAAACACCTTAATAGGACTTAAAAAGTAGGAAGGCAAAAGTTATCCATATGGGAATGGGACATATGATGGGTTAAAGGAATGAATTCCTAAAAAAAGAAAGATTACTGAAAAAACAAATACAAATGTATTAAGAGATAAGATAACCTGTCTAATAATTTGCATCTCAGTATGCAGGAAACCTAGACAGTTTATCTTATCCAAAATTATTTCAATATGGTATAATTGTACAACTTCACCCTGGTCACAGTGTACAAGATTAGACATGTGTAGGTGTACAAGTATGGTAATAAAGTCGTCTATAAAGGCATTTAAGTCCGGAAACAGCCTACATGGTTGTCCACTTTTAGGGAGCTATTAGGTGTACTTATAACAAGAACTTGACTTTACAAAAAAAAATTCGCTTAAGAGATTCAATAGGAATTTCTGCTCTTAGTGGAGTCTACCATTACAATTTGTATTCATTTCTCTCGACCTTTGAATAATTGTCTCCCCTTGGAATAGGATGAAACTGTACCAATAAGGTTTTGGGGCCAGAAATTATGAGAACAAAGAACTCTGTAACAATAGGAATCATTATTACATAGATCCAAATCCACCCACAAGTCAACTGTATCCTCTTATGATTGATCAACCCTAGTACATTTATAATAAAGAAGTCCATCTTGTTTCTTAGCACAAGAGTATAAAAAAAGGAACCTCTGTAATAACATATTTAGAGATTGCAAATTCTGATTCTTCATTTGTTTTACTACTCAAACATACCAAGAGTGCTTCAGTTTGAGGCAAAATGTTTATCTGGTTCATTTTGCCCATTGGGAAGATCACTCCAAGCACCCTGAGCCATTTGGACAGAGGTAAAAGAAGTTTGGGAAAATTGGGTGTGGCAGTGCATGCCTATAATCACAGTACTCAGTAAGTTGAGGTAGGAGGATCACCATGAATTCTAGAACAATCTGGGCTACACAATGAGCTTGAGGTCATTTTGGACTACACAGTGAGCCCGTCTCAAACAAAAAAAAAGGCAACAACAAAAAGGAAAAAAAAAAAAAACAAAAACAACAGCAAAAGAGTATAGTAAACTAGGCTCCCTAGGAATTAAGATTTTTAGGGGGAAAGGAAAGATCCAGGAAGATATCTGTTTTATCATATCACACAATATATTTTCTTTAACGAAGACCCACAGAAATATCCCTTTGACCTTAGTATCAAATAAAGCCATGACCTACCAAATTAGAAACTCTGGAGGAAAGTTCTAACAGACTGTATTGATAAGCTTACTTAGTGATTCTTATGGAAACCAAAATTTGAGGTCAAAATCAAAATGGTGGAGTAGCAATCAGCAGCAAAATTTAGCCTCTCTGAAACCTGGAATCCAGACACCAAGAAAATAACAACTTGGTGGAAAAAAAAAAAACCACAAAGAAGATCTCTGGGAATCAGGAAGGAACAGACAGGAAAATTAGAAAACACAGAGAAGTTGGGGAATCAGAGCACAGTACTGAGAAAAGAAGGAAGCAATCTAGAAACTTACCCCAGATCCCAGGAAAGGGAACTTGTATCTGCAGACACAAGGTAAGTCTCCAGTTTGGGCGCTCCTGGGAGAAATAATGGACTGGGCCAGGAGTGCTAGCCCCCTAGAAAGCCCATAGCTGTTGCAAACTGCAAAAACGGTGTGGGGTTTTACTCTGAAGTGACTCTATCCACATGGGAGGCCACAGCTGAAGAAGGAATCCGGTACAGAGCCTGATATACTACCAGTGAGTGTTTAATCAGGTACCAATATGGGAAGGGGTTGATTGATTATTTAAGATTGAGACTCAGAACAACTAAAAATCCACTTCAGGATTTCCCATAAAATCTTCCACAGTGACTGGGTGACAAACAGCTATGGGAGACAGTCACAACCAAAGGGTGGGTCAGACACTGAGTTTCTGAGATGTGTAAGCTCAGGCTGGAAGGACACAGGGCCTTGTCCTTTATGATGAGGAGCCAGGTCCCAGAGTGTGGTTTTTAGAAGGGCTGGGTCTGAAAGCACTGGTATTAAGTATAGCAGGCTGCTCCGTCCCTTGTCCTGCTGCCTACACCCAGCAATGATCAGAAGTCTTGTTGCTGTCCCCAACTACCAGTGGAAGCAAGGCCTTGCCTCAGCTTGGATGGTTGCTGTAGCCTAGAATGAATGGACCAAGAGTCTCGCGAGCAAGGGTACATCTCATGAATCCACAGACTTTAAAGCTAGGTAAAAATCATTACTAGCTGGATTTAAAACCTCTTGATCCTAGAAGAAAACCATTCATTCAAAAACATAGTGAAAATGTTTCTTTCTTTTTTAAAACTAAATATATTTCTCTCTTTTTTTCCCTCCTTCCTTTACTGCTTCTTTGGGGTTTGGAGAATTTTCCTTTTTTTCCTTTAAATCATATTCTTTAAATCTTTTTTTTTTTCTTTTTCATTTTCCTTTTTCTGTTTATTCTTTTATGTTATTTATATCTAACTGTATTAATTTCTCTACACCTTAATAAGATCCTTTATATCACTTTTCTCTCATCATTCCCTGCTTAATTTTGAAAATTTTCCTCATTCATTCTCCCATTACTCATCCCCTGCATCCTTACTAGTACAGCCATTAACCTTGTTAATCTTTAGTTATCTGTTACTACTGTCATTCTTTTATATTGTTAATGGAGATATAGTTGTCATATTTAGTAGATACTTGTATGTCAATACATGGAGAGCCTTAGTGTGTATAGTATAAGTGTAGGTAAATGTCTTTTCTATGGTAAAGGGTGGCACATTATTGGCTGCTACGGTATGTCAATATCCAGTTTGTCTTTGATGCTATTGCTGCTGATTTACTTGTTATTGTCAAGGCAACATAGTTACTGCTACTACTAGGTTTGTTCTGTATACTTTATGTAATTAACAATACTGTGGTGCATTCACAGAAAATTGGGTTCTGGGTCAATTACACTGCATGCACCCCTCCCAAATCAACAAAGGTGTGCAGATCTTGGGGCAGAGGCAAAGGCCTATAGTTAGCCATATCCAGAGTGCATGACTGAAAAGCAGACACTAATTAAAGAGATTTCCATAGCAGCAACAAAGTCTTCCCAATATAGGTGCCCACAAAGGACACACACACACACACAAACCAATAAAAAAATGAGAAGACAGTGTAAAAAAATGGCTGAAAATCCTCCCAACTCTCCCAAAGCTGATACGTGAGACAGCAAGGGGGAAAAATCAAAAGCCACACAGCTGAATTATTCAAGAAGGATAATGAAAGTGATATTAAAAAATAAGGTGTTTGGTGAGTTCAAAGAAGATATAATTAAACAGATAATGGAGGTAATCCATGTATCAGCAGGTTTACAGAAAACACTAATAAAAAAACTAGATGAGCTAAACAAATAATATGAAACGTGAATGACAAGTTTAGCCAATAATTAAAATTTGTGAAAAGGTTCTAAGCAGAAATCCAGGAGATTAAAAATTCTATTGAACATATATAGGTAGGAGAAGCAGCCAATGTGAGGACAGAGTGCCATAAATAAGAGATGTCCAGGGACTAATTATTCAGAGATACCTTCAAAGCAAGAAAACATGAAAAAATTGATCCAAAAATTTCTAGATAGAAGATAAGATAGAACACTCACTTAGGATTAATTGGAATTGTTATAGAAAAGACAGTACAAATGGTATAAAAATTATTTATAGAAATAATAGCAGAAAACTTTCCAAAGATAAATAATCCAATATACAGAGAAGTGATGCATATAGAATCTCTCCAGTATACATTGTGGTCCAAATCCCAGAAGTCCAACATGTCAGGGCCTTAAAAGCTGTGAAAGAAAAGTAATGAATCAGTTATACAGTGGAACCAAATAGAATTACAGCAGAGGGCTAGGGATTTAGTTCAGTGGCATAAGCACCTGCTTAGCAAGTATGAAGTCATGAGTTTGATCCCTGGTACCACTAAAAAGAAAAGAAAAAAAAAATAGAATTACAGCAGACTTTTCCATACAAAACTCAAAGGTCAGTGAACTGTTGCAAGCCCCAAGAGAAAACAATTTCCAATCCAGATTGATATATCCTACAAAACTATCTTTCAAAACTGGTAAAGAAGTAAGGAATTTCCATGACAAATAGTGCCTTAAGAAATTTATGACCACCAAACTAGCACTACAAAGAATTCTCCAGTATATACTAGAAAGAGACAATTAAACCAATAGTGATGAAAAATCTAATAGAATTATCAGGCAGTGTGAGCAGTTAAGCAGAAAAGAAAAACAGGAAATCATCAGGAAAATAATTCAATGACAGGAATAATTCAATACTTTAGTTAAAAACTCTCAATGTGAATGGTCTCAACTCCCCAATCATAAGATACAGATTGGCAGAATGGATCAAGAAACAAAACCCAATAATATGTTGTATACATGTAACACATTTAATCAAAAAAAAAACTCACAAGTTAAGAATCAAAGGACAGAAAACAACATTCCATGGAATGGGAAATCAAAAAAATAGCAGAAGAGGAAAAGAATGTCACTACATATTGGTTAAGGGAAGAATTCAACAAGCATAAATGATAATTATAGAAATGTACACACCAAACACCATCACATTCAACTTTATAAAACAAATGCTATTGGATGTAAAAGATCAGATAAAAGCCAACACAATTAAGTAGAGAACCCAATATTCCACTGTTACAAATAGATCAACTACACACAAAGCCAATAAGGAAATATTAAAATTGAACCAAAACTTTAAACAAATGGACTTAGTAGAAATCTAAAATGGATTCCACCTAACAATAACAGAATACATATTCTTCACAGTAGCACATGGGATTTTCTCAAAAATAGACCATATGCTATCTAATAAAGCATGCTAAAGCACATGCAAAAGAACTAAAATTATGCATTATCAGATCATTGTGCAATGAAATTTGAAGTCAATGCCGAAAGAAACCACAGAAATTATGTAAACACACAGAAAATTTTAAAGTATCTTTTGAATAATCAATAGGTCACAGAAGAAATTATTTAGTTCCCACAATCAAGCAATAATCAGTACAATTTACCAGAACTTGTAAGACACAGTGAAAACAGTCCTAAGAGAGTTGTGAATGCCAGTATGAAAAATTCATCTATCCTACCCAAGAAAACAACCTAATGATGCACCTGAAGGTCCTAGCAAAACAAGAACAATCCAAATGCAAAGCGAGTACAAGGAAGAAAATCATACAGATCAGAGCAGAAATTAATGAAATTGGAGCTAGAAAATACAAATAATCAATTAATTAAAGAGCTGGATCTTGGGAATAATAAACAAAACGAACAAATCCAGGCAATGTTACCAAACCCCCAACCTCTCCCAAAGACCTAAATCAATACAATTAGAAATAAAAAAGGCAAAATCACATTGGATACTACTAAAATTCATAAGATTATTAGTAACTACCTTGAGAAACTCCTCTCTAACAAATTAGAAACTTCAGAGGAAACTGATAGATTCCTAGATACATATAAATTTCTAAAAGTAAACCAAGAAGATATAATAACACTGAATAATCCAATAACTGGCAATGAAGTTGTAGCAAAAATAATTTTCATAAAATTATCAGCTGAGAAAATGCCAGGTCCTGATGGATTCACCACTGAATTCTGAAAAACTTTAGGGAAGATCTGACAGCAAAACAATGCAAGCTGTTTAATGAAACTGAAAGGAAAGGAGAACTCCCAAAGTAATTCCTGCAAGACAGCATTACTCTGATTCGAAAACCAGAAAAGGACCCAACCAAAAAGGAGAACTATAGGCCAATAACTTTAATGAATATAGTCACAAATATGTTCAATAAGATACTGGCAAACACATTACAACAAATCATAAAAGAGCAGACATCATTACAAAGTAGAAACCATCCCAGTGACAAAGGGGTGGTTCAATCTATGCAAATTGTTTAATGTTATACATCAGATAAAGAGAAGCAAGGAAAAAATCACAAGATAATATCAATTGACACAGAAAAATCCTTTGAGAAGATACAAAAGCCATTCATGATAAAAAGCATAAACAATATAGGTATAGAAGAACCTTATCTCGATCTGATAAAAGCCATTCATGACAAACCAAACACTATCATATTAAATGAGGAAAATCTGAAAATGTTCCTTCTAAAGTCAGGAACAAGACAAGGTTTTCCACTAACATTACTCTTGTGCAATATATTTCTTGGAACATTAATCAGAGCAATTAGATAAGATAAAGAAATACAAGGGATATGCATAGGAAAGGAAAAAGTCAAATTATTATTATTTGCAAATGACATGATCCTCTACACAGAAGATGCAAAAATTTCCACCAAAAAACTTAGAATAATTAAACAAATTCAGTAGCCTAGCAGGATATGAAATCAACACACAAAAATCAATAGCATTCCTGGGTACCAATGATTAACTCATTGAGAAAGAAATTAGAAAAAAATACCATTCACAACAGTGTGAAGAAAAACTACACACTTAGGAATCAACCTAACCAAAGAAGTGAAAGAACTCTATAATGAAGTA